CTGAATCCACTCACCGGGCCCCCTCGGAGGCCTCGAACACCTCATCATCCACATCCTCTTCACCACCAGCCTCGTCATCCTCATTGCCACTGCCCAAGCTGGAAGGAGGGCCAGGGCATGGGCTGGGTCGTGAGGCAGGTGGCCGGGCAGTGCCAGCAGGGCCCTCAGAGCTGGGCTGACTCTCAATGGCGGAGTCAGCCTCCTCCCGCTCAGCCAGCACCTCATCGATGTCAGTCTCGCGGTAGCACCTCAGGGGCACCGTGTCCAGGTCTGTCTCAGAGTACTTGGCTGCTCGCCCCACAGCCACCCCAGAGCCTTGCTTGGAACCCACCTCACGGGATGGGAGGGCTTGCTCTGGGGGCTTAGCACCTGTGTGCACAGACATCCAGGTCAGGAAGTCATTTATGTTGGGTAGCTTCACCACGGCCTCACAGAGGCTGGAGAGTCTTTCATCATCTAAACCACTACGTATCTGCCACACCCTTCACTTGATCCAAACGCCTGGGAATAACTACGAAGGAGACCAGACTTTCTTTTACTCTTAGGAATAACCCTCAATATCTGGCCATTCCCCCTTCACCCCCCACCCCCAGCTTACTCTAGAACCCAGCCCAATCCTCATGGCGTAGATGAAAGCCTGGAGCCCAGAGAGACTTTGGCTGACTGGGGAGCCCAAGGAAGCCCTGAAGAAGGTTTGAAGGATGCCTCTTTGCCAGTCCTCAGATGCTGTGGAGAAGGCCCTACCCACTTCCCCTAGGCTAAGTCCAAGCCTTACCTGAGCTGGGGGCGTCCAAGGAGCCATAGAAGAATTCCCATTTGGCCCGAGCGATTCTCTGAGCATGAGAGGAGACTTCCCGGGTGGAGGACCAGGTGTCCCCCTGAGCCAAAGAGGAAGTGAAAGGCACAGGACCCCAGAATGAAAGCCAGACATACAAGGACACAAGAATATGGAGCAGCAGGAAGAAAACCACATGGGACATGATGAAGGTGCGGGAACACAGCGACAGAGGGCAAGAAAGCTGATTTAGGACATTAAAGGATTTGGGTGCATATGAGACAAGCCTCAGTCCAACAGGGGCTGAGCTTTGTCCCTTAGCCGGGGTGCTAAGGCCCAGAGAGCCCAAGGCAGAGTGCATACCTGGTGTAGGAATCCAGTGTCTGCAGGTCCTCGGAAATGCATGGCCAGGTGCTCAGGGGTCCCCCCCAGCCCATTGGGGAGGGAGGAGTAAAGACCATCTGCCCCAATCTGGGGTGGTACCAATGGCCCACGTGAGGGGTCCCGGCTACCAGGAAGAGCAGAGCCTCCTCCAGCTGGGAGTGGGTCTGATGTGGATGCCTCTAGCCGCAACTTCCGGTTGCAGCCAGGTCCAAGGGCTGGGGCGGGCCTGGGAGGAGAAACCCCACCCAGGTCCCAGCTCCGACTCAGGCCTCCAGAAGCAGGTAGGCCATTCAATGGCCTCACACTGGCCTTCTCCACAAAACGGAAGATGACCACAGAACTCTGTGCCCCTGGTGGGGGCTGCCCAGTGGGAGAAGAGGGTCCCCAGCGTGAGGGAGCCATACGGGGTGATGGGGGGCCTCGCAGAGGGGTACAAGGTGCTGTCACACGTCCCAGATCCCGGCCTCGAGGACCTGGACCCGCCACTCGTCGTATTAGGGATCCTGTGCTGCCATACATGCTGGCTGGGGGACTTTGGGGCACTGGGCCTTCGGGGAGCCAGCGACGGGGGCATCGTGGTGGGGAGATGGCACAGTCTCCTTCTGAGCAGAAGCGCATGGCACCCTGGGCCATGCTGGGGCCGGGGGTCAGGCTGGGGGGGCAGGGATGGCGAGGCCAGGCAGGGAGTGAGGGGGCTGCATGCTCTTCAGACAGGCCTGCAAGAGAGGAAGGAGATAATGGGTGCCGTGTATAGGAGTCCGACAGACAGGGCAGCTCAGACAGAGAGAGAGAGAGAGGGGAAAGTGGGTTGGGGCTTCTAAGGTCCAGGACTAGTCAGGCCTGGAAATATGGGATCACCCATCCTAACCCCAATGGCTCCTTCCATGAAAACCTTAGGGAAAAAGGACAGTCCACTCAGTGGGCCTTCAGTTCCTCTCCTGTCTGGGAGCCCTGAGCATCACTTTAGGAAGAAAGAGCAAGCTAATTCAGAAGTTCACTGAGTTCAGTTCTGGGGCCGTTGGGAACTCTTTCTTGTGTGGAGGCTGGTATCCCATCTTCTGGATCACATGGGGCTGCAAGCCACAGGAAAATGAAATGGAATCCAGCTACTATGACACCCATTCATACAGCCCTAGGTCCTCTATAATCCCACTTAGGAAGAGAAACATCAGGCTTCTTGGAAGGAGGGAGAGGGGTTACATAGGGACAAGGAAGTGTCGAGAGACACAGGGAAAAGGTGAGAAGAAAAGCTTGAAAAGAGGCCCTTAACTTCAGTCCATAGGTGCTGAGTGGGGAAGAGACACCCTTTTTCCATATCACACATGCACACACACATATGAATTCATATACACACGTGCAGAAGGACAGATAGGCGTACACAGTTAACACATTCCTAGGCAACACCCTCCAGTACACAGGCACACGCAGCACTGCTCATAGACACACCCTCATACACTCACAGTCATAACAAATATGTGTATAATGGAAAAGCACATGCTGGCTTTACACACAGATCACCAAACAGGATCACACAAAGAGGTACCCAATATACAGACAGGCTCTCATCTTCTGATGCACACACAGACAGGTGTATCAGACAGAGACCTCCTTGTCACAATCATAAACACAGATGCACATTTGCACACATAATCAGACACACACATCCTCTCCTCCCCCCACCAGGGACCAGGTCTGGGTGAGGGGCTTGCACCACAGCCCTCTCCTCCAACTCCAGGGGTATGACATGTCTTGTCCAGTCCAGGAGGGGCCATAAAGGAAAACAGGGCCTCTGGTGGCAAAGCACGGTAGGGAAAGCTGTCAGAAGCAGCAACCCTGCCAGACAGGTTCTTGAAGCTCAACGGGCCTGGGCCTCCCCTGTGCAGCCCCTCCTCCAAGGCACCCCAGTACTCACCGCTGCTCGTTCGGAGCTGGAACGGAAGAGAGGCAGAGAGGCCGGGCCCCGCTCAGCTGTGAAAGCAGCACGGCTCCCGCTTGCTCCAGGCCCGCCCGCCTCCCAGTCCCTCCTCCACCCCTCCCCACGCTCTGCTCAAGCAACGCTAATCCCCCCCACCTCCCTTCTTTCCCAGGGCCCTGAGTCCCAAAGAATGCCAACCCCCTAGTCACTACCTCAGACTCACACCAGAGGAAGGGGAGAGTGTAGAGAACCCCGGGCTCTGTTCCTTAAACCCTCAGACGCCCCACCCCACTCATGTTCATTTCTCTCTCGTCCATCGTCTCCTGAGCCACACGGGGTCCAGCTGCACACGCCTGTCCTGCTCCAGACCCCACGCGTGTCCCTAGGAGGCTGCCACATGACCTGTTACATGCCACACGCGCTCCCGCCCCCACAAGCACGCGGCCACGCAAACCACACGGTACAGGAGTAGACCGGACCCGCCCCCTAGAACCAGAAGACCAACTATGGAAGGGGCATCAAGCGAACGCAGTCTTAAACACTTCGGGGTTCCCAACCTCAGATCCCCGAGTCCTGTCCTGACCACCCACCCGGAGTGCAGAGGAAGGATAAGTCAGACTCCAGGAAGAACTTCCTTGCGGCCTAGGTTAATCGTCCCGCCTTTTCAGGAGCGAGAGTTTAGAAGGGGTGACCCAAAGACTGGGAAGAGAAGCACGAGCAAACCTTGTGCCCTTGGCCGGGGTGGAAGAGGGTCTGGCTATTTTAGGAAAACGCCACATGAGTTACTATGGCAACTATTCTCCTTTGGAAGGCCAGGGCCGACAGGTTATGACCTCGGAAGGAAGAGAGGGTCGGCTCGGGTGGTCAGAGGGTGCGAGGACGTTCGAGGCGGGGGTGCGCGGGGCTCACCGCGGGGAGGGGTGGCGCGGGTTCCGGGAGGTGCTGAAGGGGACAGCGCCAGATTTGTCGTAATGCGCAAGCGCAGAGGCGCGAACAAAGGGGCGGGGGAGGAGGCGCGCGGCCGGAGGTGGTACGCGCCCACATGTGTCTTTGCAGAGATCCTTCCAGGCTACCCCTTCCCCAAGCAGGCTGAGAAGGAGAGGAAGCAACCCCCTCACCCAGCTTCACCCTCTTCTGCTCTTTCCGGTGCTGGCTGGCTTCTCCCTCCATGCTACACTGAGTAATGAGGTAGTGTGGAAGGGATTCTGGGAAACCCAGGATGTCTGGGTCCTTTATCTTTGCTCCGTTTGCTCCTGGTTAAGGAGCTTCCACCCCTGAGCCTCGGTTTGCCCATCTTTAAAATGGACCGACCTGCCTACATTTGCAGAGGCGCCCAAAGCCCTGGTGAGATAACGGATGGGAAGCAGCTTTATGAAGAAGTGGCTGAAACGTTGGCACAGGGGTGCGCAACCATGTGGAATGCAACGGCCCTACGGTCTTTCACATGCCTCCACCCCCACCTTGGATGGTGGAGGAAACTCTTACGCCAGGGGTTCCCCAGAGTGGGACTTGGGATTAGTATGTGGGGCACAGTGAAAGGGAAGCCTGATGACTGAGCTGCGAGCTTTGGGCGTCACTCTCCCTACAACTGACTCAGGGCCAGTCAAGAAGCAGTGCGGCTAGCAGGCTGCGCGGAGCACGCATTCCTCCCCAGCTGGTCCTATACAGTCCTTTTTCCTTAGGCAAAAAGCCGGCCCACGCTGTCCTGAAGTGGAAAGGGATGGACGTCATGAGTGTGCACTTCACAATTCACAAGCAATGGCAGGTTTGAACAAGTTTGCTTGCTAAGAAAAGCCTGAGCGCCGCCCATTCAACGTATTCTCTTGGCAATTACTTATTGAGCACCTACTACATACCAGCTAGAGCCTGGGCAGTCCCCCCCCCCCCCCCGGGCCTTCTTTTTTCAAAGTCGCTTAGACGCGACCAGAGGACAGAGGGAGGCACTCGGTAACCTAGGAGTCCTGGCTCCGCCCCCTCTGCCTTTGGCCTGGTCCGCTCCTCCCATCACCGCTCGGAGGCGGCTACTGGCCCGCGACGAAGAGCGAAAGCACAGCCTCGGCCTTCAAGCCCCGTAGCTGAGACGACATCTCATGGTACATCACTGGTCTGTTCTGCCTCGGTTTCGGGGTCCATCGGGAAAGCTTTCCGATAAGGATCCTCAGTGAGACCGCACTCGATTAAATCGGTCTGTCCCTTCAGACCAAGGAGGCGGGATCGCCGCTGCCGCTTCAAGGCCACAGCGAGAAGGGCGTACTGCGCACGCGCAGCAGACCGCGATGGAGCCACCGATGGAGCAGTCCGGAGGGGAGCAAGAACCGGGAGCTGTCAGGTACCGAGCACTGGAGGGGCCGAGGGAGGGAAAAAGAGACCCGCGGGAGGGCAGCTGAGTCCCGGCCGGACCTGGACCCCTCTTGCCAACCAGCGGGGACGCTGGGGTATAACAGACGGACTCGCACGTAACAGCGGCCCGGGGACGTCAGCGCCGCTTTCCTCCCAGGCTCCTGGACCTGCCCTGGGAAGACGTGCTGCTCCCGCACGTCCTCAACTGGGTCCCGCTGCGCCAGCTGCTGCGGCTGCAGCGCGTCAGCCGCGCCTTCCGGGCGCTCGTTCAGCTGCACCTGGCCGGGCTGCGCCGCTTCGACGCCGCTCAGGTGAGCCGGGGCCCGGAGCCCCGCCCCCGCGGGGGTGAGCCGGGGCCCGGAGCCCCGCCCCCGCTCAGGTGAGCCCGGGCCCGGAGCCCCGCCCCCGCTCAGGTGAGCCCGGGCCCGGAGCCCCGCCCCCGCGGGGGTGAGCCCGGGCCCGGAGCCCCGCCCCCGCTCAGGTGAGCCCGGGCCCGGAGCCCCGCCCCCGCGGGGGTGAGCCCGGGCCCGGAGCCCCGCCCCCGCTCAGGTGAGCCCGGACCCGGAGCCCCGCCCCCGCGCGGGTCCCTCCCTCGCCCCGCCTCCGGGCCGGCCCCAGCGGCGCTGGAAACCCTTGACGACCCCGGGTGCGACGCGGAGAACTCCAGGGGCCGAGCACTGGGCAGCGACCCGGAGGGAGCATGGTGTCCCTCCTGGGAGGGCAGGTGGCAAGTCCTGAAAGTAGGCGGCTGCCAGGCAGTGTCCCGGCCCGGGGACAGACTGAGTCTCGGTGCCTCCCGCCCGCAGGTGGGTCCACAGATTCCACGGGCCGCCTTAGCCCGGCTACTGCGGGATGCCGAGGGGCTGCAGGAGCTGGCGCTGGCTCCGTGTCACGAATGGCTGTCGGACGAGGACCTGGTGCCAGTCCTGGCACGGAACCCGCAGCTACGGAGCGTAGCACTGGCCGGCTGCGGCCAACTGAGTCGCCGAGCGCTGGGGGCGCTGGCTGAGGGCTGCCCGCGTCTGCAGCGCCTTTCGCTCGCTCACTGTGACTGGGTGGACGGGCTGGCACTACGTGGCCTCGCCGACCGCTGCCCGGCTCTGGAGGAGCTAGACCTCACCGCCTGTCGCCAGCTCAAGGACGAGGCCATCGTGTACCTGGCGCAGAGACGCGGCGCGGGCCTCCGCAGCCTCTCGTTGGCTGTCAACGCCAATGTGGGGGACACCGCGGTCCAAGAGTTGGCTCGAAACTGCCCGCAACTCGAGCACCTCGACCTCACAGGCTGCCTTCGGGTCGGAAGCGACGGTGTCAGGTGCCTGGGCATGGGGCCGCTAGGGTGGGAGGTGGGCAGTCACTCTAGGGATGGGGGGCGGGTTGTACTTGGCAAAGGCCCATCAGATAGACCTCTGGGTTGTTTTTTTTTTTTTAGACTAGAAAACCTATAATTAAACAAAACAAAACAAAACAAAAACTTCTGATCCAAGATTGACACACTGAGAGATGTGACATAAAGTTGAATTCTGGCGTTTCTGCAACAAGGGGGTAATCTTGAAACGCTGGAAAGAACCAAGGATAGGTACTCTCTAAGAGCCAGAAGCCCCCAAAGAGCTGGGGGCCTGGACTCTGTAATTCCATCCCTGCCCCCTTCCTTGGGTACTGGAGAAAGGAGCAGACCTTGAGCTGGAGGGAAGCCTAGGATTTGCTGGAGCCAGCTGCAGGTGTCGCGGGCTGGCCCTGCAGACCGTGAGAGGTCTGCACCTAGCATCACCCTGCTCCTCCCCCAGGACACTGGCGGAGTACTGCCCGGCGCTGCGCTCACTGCGCGTGCGGCACTGCCACCATGTGGCCGAGCCCAGCCTGAGCCGCTTGCGGAAACGTGGTGTGGACATCGACGTGGAGCCACCCCTGCACCAGGCCCTGGTGCTACTCCAGGACATGGCGGGCTTCGCGCCCTTTGTCAACCTGCAGGTCTGACTGACTTTCCTTTGGGTGGGAGCACAGCTGGACTGTGTAGCCGGGGCCGGCCTGACACTGAACTGTAGGGAAACTGGACTGTGGGGGCCTGTGGTTGAGAGGCCTGTGGCGTGCCCTGCCTCACCCTGGAATTTCAAATAAAGAGCTTTTTACCCCTTCTTGCCTGGTGCACAGGGGACGTGAAGCTGGGAACAGGTCAGACGGACATTGTAAGTCTTCTTGCCCCGGTGGCAGAAATGACCAGAATGAACTTACACCTTCCTTGGACCACCTTTACTGTGCTCACAAGGCAGCTCCAAGAACAGATTAACACTAGAGCAACAGAGAGGGGACGGTGGGTGGGAGGGAGGGTTTCTGCATCCCTCTGGGATCTGGAAGGCTCAGCAGAGTCCAGCCAGGGCCTCAGTGGAAGCGGTACTTTCTGGCTGGCTTGAGGTTGATGTACGTGGCCTTCATCTCCTCGGCCTCAGGGTTCCGTACATCTTTGAATCGTTCCCCTTTGGTGCTTACTACTTGGTTGTCAATGTATCGGATCAGCTTCTTGGGGGCCTGTCAGGCAATCAGGCAATGAACGAATGATTGAAATAGTCCCCCTCATTCCACACCCCCAACTGCACCCAAGCCTCTCACCTCCTTGGGAGCCATGGGCCGGTGGGTCTTCTGATCCTCCGCACTATCCACCATCATGTACCTGCCAAAAACTGGCTGGATGAAGCTCCTGCCACCTGGGAAGACCCTCCAGGGTCCAGCCCAGTCCAGCCCAGCCCAGCCCAGACTTACTTCTGAAGGATGAAGGACTTCAATTCATCCTTTTGGGGGCCTCTGAGGCGCCTGGGCAAGTCCTGCAGATATAGGAGACCTATTCTAGGCCCAGTGGCCACAGTAGGGGAAACAGATGGGGATAGGTAGGGGTGGGTGCTTAACGAGAAGGCATAATGGAGCTGAGGTTACTTGGGGGCGGGGGAGAGGATACCTGATTTGGGCCATCCCAGCCTGGAGGCCCCTCTTCCTTGCCCTCTACCAGCATCTGCACTGCTTCTTCCAAGTCCCCCCGAGCTTTGGCCAACACCCACTGGGCCTGCTCCACAGAACAGGTAGGGAATACCTCCAGGAGTACATCTACTCCCGGCAGAAGTTCTTCCTCAGTACCAGCTGCCTGTGGGCACGGATGTGAACAGTGGGCCCCACTCCTTCCTTTCCTACCCCAAGGTCCCTCATGGGTCCCCCCTTCTACCAACCTCATCTTGGGTGTCCCCAGTAGCAGCAGAAGACCTGGTCTCTTCTTTGAGCTTTTCGGGTTGCCTCAGGGTCTCTGGAAAAATGGGCACCTGACCTTGGACACAGGAGCTCTGTGGGTGCAGGTTCTCTTCAAGAGGCAGAGAGGGTATCGGATTTGCCAGGGCTTGGGGTGGGGGTGGGAATCCTCCAAATGCCACATGCCCAAACTCACCTTTGTTCCTAGCATCGCTGAGCTGCATCGAGAGCTTCTGCATCATGTCCCCTATGATGCCCCTGGAAGGTAAAGAAGGTGGTGAGGTGACCGCCCTATCCCAACCCCAGCCAGCCAGCCCCACCTCCTTTCTGCCCTAGCCAGGCCCTACCTGGGGATGTCAGCAAAGCCAGGCACATAAGCCTCCATCATCTCTGTGAAGGCATCCATATCAAAGTTCTCCTCTGAGGGCCCTGAGGGGCCCAGGTCCTCCAGGACCCCAAGCACATAGGAGAAGATGACCTCATCTAAGCCACTGTAGAAAAGAACAAGTATTCTGGGTAGGACTCTGGGTATTTCCAGGGTCCCCACCTAATCTGACTTCAGTCCTCAGTTTCATGGGTGCCCATGGGTCAGCTCGGTCCCTGAGGCCAGAGTGTCTCCTTCCATCTCCTTTGGTTTTGGTTTTCAAACAGTCCAGTATAGATGATAGACACAGTATGAGAGAGAAGACCATCTCAGCAAATAAAACTCAGCTCTCCCCAGGCAGCAGAGATGGCTCAGTAGTTAAGAGCACTTGCAGCTCTCTCGAGGACCCAAGTTCAGTTCCCAGCACCCACGTGAAGTAGCTCACAGCTGCCTATACTTCCAGCTCCCTGGTCTCTGACACCCTCTTCTGGTCTCATGGCACCTGCACACACACAGAGACATAAATAATCTTGAAAACATAAGCTGGGGTTGGAGAGATGGCTTGGTGGTTAAGAGTGCTTGCTATTCTTTTTGTTTGGTTGGTTGGTTTTAGTTTTTTGAGACAAGGTTTCTTTGTTTAGCCCTGGCTGTCCTGGGACTCACTCTATAGACCAGGCTGGCCTCAAACTCAGAGATCCGCCTGCCTCTGCCTGGGATTAAAGGCATGTGCCACCACCACACTTGGTATTCTTGCAGAGGACCTGGTTCGGTTCCACCTCAGAACAAGGTTAAATACTTTGTAAACCACCTTTTCACTGGCCAGTGCCCAAAGTATTACCTACAACACTCCCTCTGAGCTTGGCCTGATCCTTGAGAAGAAGGAGCAGCCCTTACCTGACGTCCGCCTCTGGGAGGTGTGTCTGCACAAAAGTAAGGAGAGCTGAACTGACGATCCTCTCCAGCTCCATGCTGTCACTTCTAAGGGACACAAGACAGACTTGCCAGGTCTCTGGCCGGCTTCACCCACTGGGCCAGGGGGCAGCAGCCCCTCCTCTGCCTTCTAAAATTGAACCAGCTATGGATGCCGCCCTCCCAGCTCCTGCAAGCAGAGTCCCTCCCTTGGCCACCCACTTCTACCTCCTCCAGCCCCAGACAGGGGACAGCACTGTCTCTAAAAGCCTTCCAAAGGGAGTTGTGCCCCTCCCCCATCTCCTGTGGCAGGAAGAGTCACATGCTTCCTGGCTGAGGAATCTCATCACTGAAGGGGTTATTTGGCCCCCAATTCCACTCACAAGGGGCCCCATTGTCCGGCCTCATAAGGAAGAAGGTCTCAGGACCAAGCACAGCCCTTCCCCCATCCATGACAGGCCACCCACCCTGTGTACAAAGGGACTTTTTTCTGGTTCTGGAGCCTATATAGAGGGGAAATCCTACATGGATTCTCTCCTCTTGCCCGGTCCCTGCCTTTCCAGCAGCCTGGACCATGAAGACCTTTGTCATCCTCCAGCCCATGGAGCTCCATCCACACAGTCTGGCCCTCGCCCACTTCTACCTCACCACTCCCTCCTCCCTCGCTCTACCCCACGCCCTTGCTGTTCCTCCATCCTGCTGGCTCTCTTATTCTTTGGTGGGTCCTAGTGCCTAGGAAGATGTTTGCTTTCAGCAAGTGCTAGGTAAATACTTTCTGGCTTAATTTATCTACAAGCTTTTTAAAAAGATTTATTAGCTGGCCTTTAATCCCAGCAGAGGCAGAGGCAGAGGCAGGTGGATCTCTGGGAGTTCGATGCCAGCCTGGTCTACAGAGTGAACTCCAGGACAGCCAGAGCTACACAGAGAAACCCTGTCTGGCGGGGGGGAGGAGGATTTTAAAAAAATTTTCTGTGCATGAGTGTTTGCCTGTGTGCATGTATAGGCACAAAGGTACATGCTCAGGGAGGTCAGAAGAGGGCTCCAGATCTGCTAGAACTGGAGTTATATATAGGCTACCACATAGGTGCTGGGAACTGAACCTGTGTCCATTGCAAAAACAAGTGCTCTTTACTGCCCAGCCCGATCTCCAGCCCTCATTTCCATGCTTTTGACTCCCCCAAACTCTCTTGGGAATCAGGAATGTGCAGATGGTAAGAATGGATCAAGACTCAGAGAGCCAAATGTCAGCCAGGCCTCTCCTTCGGAACTTCAGAACCCAGCTACCCCAAACTCACATCCTCCTCACATCCCCTGCAAACGCATCCCACTCCCTCAGCCACCATGCCTGAAACTTGGAACTGCCCTTGATTTTTTTTTTTTTTTTTTTTTTTTTTTTTTTTTTTTTTCTGCCCTTGATTTTTACCTCTCTCACCCTTCTCTGGACCCAAACAATCAAGCCAAGTCCTATTGAATACCCCGTCTTTTCCCGACTTTCTCAGGCTAAGGTTACCTGCTACTTTTCAGGTTTTAGTCTACTGAGGTCGAACCACTAACCCCCCAATTTAACTCTGAACACTTTATGTACAGGTTGCCACCTCTGTCTCCTGAGCGCCCAGCCTCTGGTGTTCTCTCCTTTCTCAGGTATCTCTTCCTTGGTCCCTGCCTCTGTTCCCTTCTGCTGCCCTCTGACTCAAGGCCACTGCTCTCCTTGCTCTGCTGCTTCCTCTCTGCAGGGTCTCATCTGGGCCCATCCTTATGTACCAACTGTCTGTCACCAACTCTCAAATGCTCAGTCCTCTAGTGCAGCCTGAGCTTCCACCCGGTACCTCTCCCTCACTGACACCACCATATAAAAGCTTACAGCATGTCCCAAAGTACCATCCCTTCAAGTATTTTTCTCCTCCAGGACTATCCTGCCCAAATGAGTACCCAGACACAGCTATTCCAGCTACCAGTCTAGGAATTAACCATGACACTCCTCTACCCCATGCTTTCCATCAGCCAATTAGTAACCAAATCCTGACTATTCTTTTTTTTCTCAAGACAGGGTTTCTCTGTGTAGTTTTGGTGCCTGTCCTGGATCTCACTCTGTAGCCCAGGCTGGCCTCGAACTCACAGAGATCCACCTGGCTCTGCCTCCCAAGTGCTGGGATTAAAGGCGTGCACCACCAGCACGGCCCGGGAAATCCTGATTGTTCTTGAACATGTCTACTTTGTGTGTGTAGTGTGGGTGCATGGGTGGTCCTGCTGCTGCCGTGTGTGTGGAGCCAGAGCCTGACGTCAGGCTGTCTGCTTCCATCGCGTCTCTACCCTTTCATGTGTTTGTTTAAAATATGAGTGTCTCCATAGTCCTGGCTGTCCTGGATCTCTCTATGCACACCACAGTGATCTTGAACTCACAGAGATCCTCCTGCCTCTGCCTCCCGAGTGCTGGGATTAAAGGTGTATGCTTTGTTTTTTGAGACAAGAACTCTGGGTGAACCTAGAGCTTTTGGCTTTTCTGGCTGGCCATGGCCCTCCTGTCTTGACCCCCAGTGCTGGAGTCACAGCTTTGGGCCACCACATCTGCTGCATGTGTTTGTTTTTGAAGCAGCATTTCTCTATTTAGCCCTGGCTGTCCTGGAGTTTACTATGTATACCAGTATGGCTTTGAACTCACAGTGATCCTCCTGCCTCTGTTTGGGATTAAAAGCAGGCACTATTGTGCCTGGCTATACCTGTTTTTATTTTTTGTTTGTTTTGCTTTGGTCTTTCATGTGGTGTTGGGGATCTGAACTCAGGTCCTCCTGCTTGCCCAGCACACATCTGTCCCCACTGCAGCATCTCCCCAGCCCGCAGCTCACTTCTCCCCTTGGCCTCCACGTGGCACTATTGCCCGCAGGAGCTTCCTGACATGTCTCCCTCCCTGCTACCATCTCTCCCCCAGCAACCCCTTCTCCCCATCACAGCTGTATGAGCTGCTTAAAATCCAGTTGTGGGGGCTGGAGAGATGATTCAGTGGTTAAAGTACTTACTGCTTTATCAGAGTACCAGAGTTTGTATGTCAGCACCCACATTAGGAGGCACCAATAGGATCTGACATCCCTTTCCGGCCTACACACACACAAATAAATCTTTTTAAAAAATGCTGATGTGGAGGCACATACCTTTAATCCCAGTACTCAGCAAGCAGAGGCAGGTAGATCTCTGTGAACTGAGGCCAGCCTGGTCTACATAGTGAGTTCCAGGCCAGTTAGTGCTATATAGTGAGATCCTGTCTCAAAAACAAACAAACAAACAAATAAATATCAAACTTAACAGTGACTTCCTATTACCTTTCCAGAAAGTCCAGAGCTTTTTTGTGGCCTTTGATTTTGGGCCTTTTCCCCACCTATTTTTCTCCAGCTCATCACTCCTCTCTATCCTAGCTTGCTTTCAGTGTGTCAACATTCAAGTCCAGACTTTTTAGAACTAGTCTACTCACCCCTACCTAAGACCCTCCTTACAGAGTGCATGTTTGTTCCCTTGTTTAGCAGGACTTTTCAGATATAACTAATGCAGTATTTGGACAACGCTTAATGTTTCTTCCAGCTGTTTCATGAGGGCATAGAGGACTCTCCTGTTTCTCTCTTCCCTTCCACATTGCTCCAGCCTGGTTTATTCACCGGTGTGCACTCAACACCTGTGGGAGCTAGGACTCAAGAGACTCAAATCGCTCCCCTCTGCAGAGGTGATGAGTAAAACCCAGTGACCCAGACCCAGACTGGATCTGCCAGGGTCACCCGAGTGAACTGCAGTAGTTGGATCCACGTTCAGGACTGGGGGTATGGCTCAGTGGTAAGCATTGGTATGTGTGGGGCCCTCAGTTGGATTCCCAGCAATTCCCCAGTGTCCATTTAGGGAGAACTCTGGGGATGAGGGTTATCAAGACTTCCACGTGGGTGGGACTACTTACTTGGTCCCTTCAGTGATAAGACAGAGTGGCCGTGACAGCGCACAAGTGAATTTGGAAAGGAGGGCTGAGTAACTCCAGTCTCTCAAGGGAGATGACCACCCTCTGCCCTTAGCCACAGGCCACAGTGCAGGACAGAACACCTTAGCCCAGGCATTCTAGCCCCCATCATGCAACTCCCCTGAAAAGGTAGCCCCTCCAGAGACCTACCCCACCCTCACACCCTGACTGTTGACAGAGGCCTGGGACAATCTGCAAGGAAAAAGACACTTGGCTGCTGTATAAAAGCCCAGTTTCTAGGGAAGCTTTTTCAGGGATATATGTGTTGCCTCTGGGTTTCTAACCAAGGTGTAGGGGCTACAGAGTTGTTAATGGGAAATTCCTCAAGGTCTTCAAAGGAAAAGCCTTCCTCCTTCGAGGTTCTGTGGCTGGCTGTTCTGCTAAGGGACCATCATCTCTCCTCCTGCTTTTGGACTGACCAAAGATGGTTCAGATTTCAAAGCTTGCCACATCTCTCTTCCCACCCTTCCCTCTCCTCCCAGCTTTCCCTGACGTCCTTCCTGCTTGAGAGCACCTAATATTTCCTCCCCATAGTTCCTGAGCTGGGGAGACCTGAACGACTAAATTGGCTTCCTAAGTCAACCTGAGGATTTCCATGAGACTTTTCTAGTTCCAGATACAACCCACGGAACCTATTACTTCTTGAACGGAGATGACTATTTAGTGGTACCTATGAAATGTGACAATCACTGTACCTCGAGTCCTGCTGAAACGCCTCTGATGGGCCAAGGGCTAAGAGCACTGACTGTTCTTGCAGAAGACCTAAGTTTGATTTCCAGTACCCACATAGCACACAACTGTCCATAACTGCAGTCCCCAAGGAAACAACACTCTTTTTTGACCTCTGAGGGTACCAGGCATGCACATGGTACACAGACATACATGCAAGCAAAATGGTAATATATAGGAAATTAAATAAATGGAAAAACATTTAAAAAACCACCTGTACTGGTGGTTAAAAACAGTGTCTACTCACTGACTGCATGTGAAACACTGTATTAACTTCCTAATCTTCATAACAGCCTTAAAATGTGGATAATACTATTATGCCCATTACCTGAAAGGAAATGAAGGCACTGAAATTTTGAGAAATTTTCCCAAGGTCACAGGGTAGGTTAATGGCAGATTCAGACACAGGCAGCCTGGCTTCAGAAACTTCTCTATTACTACACCATGATGCCAGACCTGTACTATGGGCCTCTCCTGCCTCACGAGCAGTCTTACCTACCTCAGAATCTTCGCTTGCCCTCTTCTCCCTGCTCAAAACATCTTTCCCTCTGCCTCTGCAAACTCCATTCTGCGGGGCTCACTTTCTCTGTATAGCCAACTAACTCAGCTACCCATCCTCGATGCCCTGGGATGGCTTGAGAGACTCCCAGAGGACTAGATATTGGCCTGCACCTTTCAGACACTCCATTAGAGGATGTGGGGCTAGAGGAACCCTCTGAGCAACTTAGACTAGGGTAAGGAGAGCCATGCTACTCCCTCGGAGTGGAGAGGCACTAAATGCAGATTGAGAGCTGCCCATGTGAACGCGGAATTCCTGGGAAGCAATGTGGCAAGGGACACTGGGGACCTAAGGGGTCTAGCCCAAAGGTCTTCACTACTTCTCCCAGGCCCTTTTATAAAGTAATGATGCAGCATAATGAAAGCCCTAGAAAATATTATTTCACCCTGATCCCCACGTCAGGTCTTAGAGGTACCAACGGTATTGTGGGGAACAAGGGATCCCACCATCTAAAGTCAGGCAGTTGCACAAACCCTGAGAGATGAGCACAGGAAGTGGGATCTCATTGATGGCCGACTCTTGAAGCAAGAGCTTTTTATAACTGTTAGCAGGGCACTCATAAGCGTCCAGAATAGGGGGCCTGAGGACACTGGGATTCAGTAGCCGCCTTGGGAGGGGGTGAGTCACATGACGAGATAGGCCTGAACAAGCTAGATGGTCCTCGATACAGGCCACGAGGGACAATTAGAGAAAGGGGTCCGGCCGACCCCCTCCCGAACGCTAGGAGGGGTACCCTGTGTCAATGCTCTGCGCGACCTCCTAGCCCTAGACCCGGGGCTGGAGGGGAAATCACCTGCTCCGTTAGGCGCCGCCGGCGACTTGTCCCGCGCGATGCAGTTCTTATCCCTTAGCCCCGCCAACAAGATCAAAGGCGGGGCTCAGAGCTGTTCCTTTTTGGAAGACGCTGTGGTGGCCATTTTTGAGAAGGGCAGTTTGCCCATACCAGGGCGGGGCTGCTTCCCCCATTCTCGGTGTCTTAGCGTTTTGGACCGGCTCCCCCGGCGGCCATTTTTGTTTTGGGTAGATGGGCATGACTGACATGTTCTCTTCTGTCCGCTAGAGGTCCCGAACCTTTCGGTATTTATTCCTGAAAGAACCCAGGGTTTTCCGGCCCGCTTTATTTCCTCGCCCTCGGACCCTCCCCTGAAAATCCTATAGATCCCTTTCTTCAGTCTCTGTGGCTCCCCGACGGGATGTGGTGTCTCCTATTACAAGATCTAATGATCTCCCCCGAATTCCAGCATCTCCCCCTTCATGTGCGGTCTGGCTTCAAGCCCTGTCACTCAGTCAGCTCTTGGGGCCTGAATCCCTGGACCTTATGTACCCCTCCCCTTTGTCCCTTATTCATGTCTCCCCAAGAGTAAGGTGGCTCACAGGGTCTTCGGATGAGCATTAAATGCTTGGAGTGAGGATAGACCTGAACCCAGATCCAAGATGGCTTGCGACCTCCTCCGCACCCAGTGCGCTCTTGCCTACACCGGCAGGGCTAATAACCTAGAAGAGACAGAGCAGCTACATCAGGACCTAGTAAGTAAGGCCTCCGCTTCTGCTTTCTGTTCCTGCTACCTCCGCTTCCCTAATGCCCTGTGGGGAAGCCCACAAGCATGCCTTCTTTTGAACTCAAAAACGGGTGCCAAGAACCACTTCCAATGGTCGACCGGCCCATCCCAGTCTGCAAGGAGACGCCTCCTTCCAGTGCCAATAGGGTGCCAGGGACCCAGGAGCTGTTGCTAGCCTCTAGAAACTCGGTCCCAGAGAGAAAGTCCCAGCCCTTCCCCTAGACACTGAAGTAGTGCCAAGATACGGAGAAAGAGATTCCTGCCCTCCCTTCCTTCCCGTGGCCCTCACCACGGGCTCCCTCCTCCCCGGAGGGTGGGTGGCTGCTGAGAAGGGGAAGGAAAGGCCAGAGGCGGGAACACACTTGGCTTCTCCTGTAAAAGCGCTGCCGCTGCCAGCCTGGCGCTGCTAGGGTTAATAAGAGGTGGGTGACAGCCACTTTGAACTCTAGCCAAGCAGGCCTCTGGAAGGGACCCATGGTCTCCCCATGAGCCCCAGGCCCCTGCCAGCCCTCCCCTTTGGGTCCCCTTCCTCCCCCCTTTTACGCATTGCCCAACACTGATGACTGTTCACTTCTTACCACCCCCATTCCCGGAACTTACAGGCTTCCTCAGCAGGGCTGCTTTGAATTCTGACCCCAGACCCCCGCAGCCACCCCGAGGTTGTACCTTCCTCCTCCTCAACTCCCGATCTCGCTTGATTGGCTATCGTGTGTAGCTCGACAGCAGGAAGAGCACCCTGAATTCTCAGGGAAGAACTGCGCCCAAGGTTTCTAGGGGAGTCCCTCTATTCCTGACTCAGACTCTGTGCAGACTGCGTCAGGTTCTGCGGCCCCCGGACAGAAGGCTGGGCAGAGGGAAGGACTACCACAGACAAAATGTCAGCTGGCATTTCCATGAATCTCTAGGTCCGCGGTTCTCAACCTTCCTAACGCTGCGACCCTTCAATACAGTTCCGCATGCTGTGGTGACCCCAACCAGAAAATGATTTCATTACCACTTCATTGCTGTAACTTTGCTACTGTTATGACTCGTAATGTAAATATCTGTGTTTTCCAATGGTCTTAGGTAACCCCTGTGAGAGGGCCATTCGACCCTCGACAGGGTCACGACCCACAGGTTGAGAACTTCCAGTCTAAGCCCATCTGCTAGAGATTCCACCGCTAACCGGACCTTACCCTTAGTTCCGGGTTTTATGTCCCCTAAGTTCTTACTTTCCCTTCCCCAAGATGGGAGCCAACTCCACCAGAGCGCTGCCATAGGGGGTGGGGCGCCCACGTGCTGTTGCCTCCTCTCTCCTCTTCCCTAAGATGTAGAGTACGGGGCCTCCCTGGTTGACAGAAAAGACTAGGAGCCTGTGCTATATATATGGGGATGCTTGTAATTCCCCAGCCCCCTGCCGCAGCACCAGGGATCAGGTTTGAGTTCAGCATCAGGGCAAGAGGTTCCTGGCATCAAGAATGGCAAAAGAACCAGAAGGCTGGTCTCCGGGAGTGGGGGGAGCGCCGGGGGGCACTGAAATAAGGAAGGGGACACTGGGAAGAATGCGTTGGAGCAGGGCTGTCCCTGGCTCTGGCTTGAGGTCAGAAAGGGCTCTCTGGGCAGCAGACAGCATGCCTGGCCCTCCCACACCTTCCTCCTTTCTCAGAAGAGCCTGCATGGGTGGGCGGGGCTCCAGGGCAGGGTGAGGGCCTACTTAAGGAGCCACACAGTTGGTTATTCCAGATCCAGCCCCAGGGATGCCAGAGAAGAGGCTCTGTGGGTAAGTGCTGCTCCTTTCACTGGGTTCAGCGGGGCGGTGGGAGGGTGACTCCTGAGTCTGCTGGTTTGACTTTCCTCTCCAGGGACGTGAGGATAGCACCCAGCTGTCACTTAACTCTCCAGAAACTGGAAGTGCATTTCAGGGAAGCCTTCCTCCTCCACTCAGCTATCCCAAACACTCAAGACCTTCATTCAAGTGGGCGATTTTCCGGAGCTAATCGTCCTGCGTGGCTGTCTTGGAGATCCCCCTTAGCTGAGGAAGCTGCTTTAACTACAGACACATGCCCTTGTCAGATGCAAATTTTGGCTTTTCCCCCTGACTCTCACCCCCCTCGCCCCTATACCCACCCACCAAGGACACATCTGGGCCCCCCTATACCCACCCACCAAGGACACATCTGGGCTCCCCTATACCCACCCACCAAGGACACATCTGGGCCGGCCGGTGATAAAAGGGCCCACGGCAATATCCAGTCCCTGCCATACTCTGAGCCGCTCCCCTCACGCTTGACTCCAGTTCTTGTCCATTTCTCTAGCTGTGGGATCCTATTTTCAGCTCCAAGCTCAGCACCCCACCACTGAGGGGGTAGGAAGTATTCTGAGATCCCAGGCTACATCCTGGATCTCAATTTGTCCATGTTGGGATTGGGGGAACATTTACAGAAGAGGACCAATGAGATAGCTCCAGGTACTTACCTCAAAACCTGGTGCCCCTGAAACCCACAGGGCGGAAAACCCACCCAACCTCACATGCCCTGTGTGTGCAGACACACCACACACACACACACACACACACACACACACACACACACACACACACACACACACAATGTTAAAAACAATTCCCAGAAGAGAGCTTTGGAGGGCAGCATCCAGGCTGAGAGAACATTGGCCACCTGGCTCTGAGAACTGAATTCCATAGGCTGTGAGCTCTAGCAAATGCCCTAGGGACTCAGTTCTGGTGCCCGGCTGTGCTATTCCATCAATACCAAAGCTATGTAGGAAACCAGAGGGTTCTCACAGCTGCCCCACAGGTGCCCCTAGAGGCTCCTTGACGGAACCCTTTAATCACACTGACTTGGGGTACTCTTCTGCTGAAAGGCTTCAGGAGCTTCCCAACTGAATCACCCCCCCCCCACCCCTATCTTTCTCTCTGAGACAGGATACCTATAGCTCAGGATAGCTGTATAGCCCAGGATAACCTTGAACTACTGACCTTCCTGCCTCTACCTCCCGAGTGTTTACAGACATGCTCCGTTCTATCTGGCCTGTATCTGTTTGCTGTCAGTGTTCCAGAAGGACTTCCAATTAGCTTTCAGGGCTGATCTTCCACGGCTCTCTCGTGGATGAGGACCTGCTGCTTCCTGCAGCTTCACTCCTGCAGTCTCCTCGGGTTACCTCTTCCCCATCTCTGTCTAGCAGAGTCCTGTTTGTCCTTTGGAGCCTCTTTGAACTTCCCAACAGTGCACAGATTCCCCATGCTCCTTCCTTCCCGGCGGGGGCAGATTCATAAGCCCCTTCCCCTGGTAGTGTCTACCCAGTGTTCTCCACATGATAGTTCCCCCAATAAACATGCCTCGCAGTGTTTGCATGTGTCTCATGTATGAAGAGGAAGTTTGACCTAGAGATTAAAGTCAGTGAGATTGCATTCTCATTTTGTAGCCTATATAGGACTATGTCAGACTGTTTCCTCGTGTGTAAATGGAAATAATGATTATATCCACATCGAAGTTTTGTGAGCATGAACTTTGGTGAGTTGATAAATGTCTGCACAGGGCTTTAGCCTAACACCTGGCATAGAGCAAGCCCTCAGAAGTGTGAGAGACTATGGATCTTATTCTATTCCTTTAAAAGATACATTATTTATTTATTTGTTTGTTTATTTATTTGTTTGTTTATGTGTGTGTGTGTGTGTGTGTGTGTGTGTGTGTGTGTGTGTGTGTGTAGGTGTATGTGTGCTATAGCATGCGTGTGGAGGTCAGAAGACAACTTGGGGGAGTTGGTTCCCTCCTATCGTGTGGGTCCCAGGTACTGAACTCAGGTCATCGGGCTGGGCCTCAAGCACCTTTACTGGCTGAACCATATCTCTCTCTCCTTTTTTTTTTAAATTTAATTTTTTTGGGGGGTGGGGGGGCATTTCGAGACAGGGTTTCTCTGTGTAGTCCTGGCTGTCCTGGAACTCGCTTTGTAGACCAAGCTGGCTTCAAACTCACAGAGATCCGCCTCCCAAGCGCTGGGATTAAAGGCGTGCGCCACCATTGTCTGGCTTGGCTGAACCATCTTGCTAGTGTCTTGCTCATTTTTTTTTTCTAAGTAGAATGGGTATTATCCAATGGTAAGGGCAATTGCCAAATGAAGTGGGACTTGAAATTTGTCTGTCAGTCCTTGCTGTGTGATGGGCTCCACACCTGATCCTTGGGTTGAGTGATGCTAGGGCAAGGCCAGGAGAAGGCAGCTGTGAGGCTCAGGGCTTGTTTGCTCAGGTCCTCCCAGGAGCTGGGAGTTCTGTATTTCCACTCCCATGTGACCTTGGATAAACATCCTCTTGTAATCTCAGAGTCCTGACAGAATGTAAATTGAGCCAGAGAGCCTTGAAGAGCAAATGAACTGTAAGGTCTCAGGCAGTCCGGGTGTTTTATGAGTCCTGTGCTTTAAGAGTAAGGTTCAAAGAGATCAAACAAGGAAGCATTCAGCTCCCTACAGGGCTGGGAGTGGAGTACACTGGTGCTGGGCTCTGGTGAGTAGCAACGTCTGTCTCTAAAACCCTGTAGTAGGGTCTTCCTCCTTTTGTATGCTGGGGAGAGGAAGTTCCCAACCAGCTCCCAAATCATGACATGGAGACTTATTATTAGTTATGAATGCTCAGCCTTTTCTTATGCTTGTCCCACTAGCTCTTATAACTTAATTTAACCTGTTTCTCTTCATCTACGTTTTGCCTCAGGCTCTTTACCTTTCTTCCCTTCTGTCTGTCCTACTTTCCTGCTTCCTCTGGGTCTGACTGGCAGGCAGCTGCCTGGCTAGCCCCGGGCACCTCCCTCTCTTTCTCCTCTGTTCTCCTCTCTCCTCTCTCAAGCCTAGATTCCTCCTCCTTCTTATTCTGTCCTCCTGCCAGCCCTGTCTATCCCTCCTCTGCATTGCTATGGGCCACTCAGCTTCTTATTAGAACAATCAGGTGCCTTAGGCAGGCAAGGTGAAACAGCAACACATTTTTACATAATTAAACAAATGCAGCCTAAACTAATGACATCTTTGCCTAGTTAAACAGATAGTCCACAACAGGATATTTTTTATTTTTGCATTCATACACACACACACACACACACACACACACACACACACACACACACACACACACACACGGCATACATACTTATGGAAGTCAGAGAACAGTTTTTGGTAAGGAGTTCTCTCTTTCCACCATGGAGATTCTGGGGCTAGAACTCTGAAGGCAAAGAATCCTACCTGATAAACTGTATCCCCAGCCTCTGATTTTATCTACTTCTGTTTCATGTGTATGAGTGTTTTGTGCACCATATGTATGTCTAATGCCCTCCAACACCAGAAGAGTGTTGGATCCCCTGGGCTCTCTTTCCCCCACTCTTTTTTCAAGACAGAGTCTTACTGTGTATCCCCAGCTGGCCTACAACTCCAACTCCTGTGTAGGACCCAGCTGGCCTAGAACTCCTAGAGATCTAGCTCCCAAGTACTGGGATTACAGGCATGTGTCTCCAACAGCGGGCTCAAACCACGCTTTGAAACAAATGAGGTTTTCACCTAAATGGTGAGCCCCACACCAACATACCATGTTCTCTGCACTCTTCTCCTTTTCCCTCTTCTTCCCTCCGTCTTGGTCCAGACACTTGAAGTCTTTCACCCCCACCCCCACCTCCACCCCCACCCCCATTGCTGATGATCTGCCCTGTTCAGTAAACATGCCTCCCTATGGCTTTCACTTATGCCCTGTAATTGCCCCTGGCTTCACAGTTCCCGGAAAGCCAGAGCTACACAGAGAAACTGTCTCGAAAAAACAAACAAAAAAATTATATTTCTTTTTCTCCCAAATCCCTTCCATTATTTCCATTTTTTCTTTTTATTAAACATTTTACTTTTGTTTTTTGTTTTGTTTTGCTTTGTTTTTTTTCTCCAGACAGGGTTTCTCTGTGTAGCTTTGAACTCACTCTATATACCATGCTGGCCTCAAACTCACAGAGATCCCCCTGCCTCTGCTTCCTGAGTGCTAGGATTAAAGGTGTGCGCCACCATGTCCAGCTTTTTGCCAGAGGCTTTTTGTTTTTGTTTTTGACATTGTACTTATTTTTATTCATTTATTGTGTGTGTGTGTGTGTGTGTGTGTGTGTGTGTGTGTGTGTGTGTGTTTGCGCGCACACGTGTACCAATAGGACCTGAATTCCAACCTCAACGCCCACGTAAAAAGCTGGACATAATATCCCATGCTTATCATCCCAGCACTGGAGTGTGGGAAGAGGAAGAAGATGGCTGGTTCCCGCTGGTTCTAGCCTATCAGTAAGCCCCGGGTTCCAGTGGGAAACAGTGTTTCAAAAAAAAGGAAGAAAGAAAGAAGGAAGGGTGGAGCTGGAGAGATGGCTCAGTGGTTAAGGACACTGACTTTTCTTCCAGGGGACTTAGATTCAATTCTCAGCACCCACCTGGCAGCCCACAACTGTCTGAACTCCAAGATCTGACACCCTCACACAAACATACATGCAGGCAAAACAACAATGCACAGAAAAGAAAAAGAACAAGTGGGCTGAGGCGTGGGGCCTGGAGAGACGGCTCACAGCACACACGGCTTTTTTTTTTTTTTTTTTTAATGATTTATTTAAGAACAGTGAGTTTGAGGCCAGCCTGGTATACAAAGCGAGTTTCAGGACAGCTAGGGGCTGTTATACAAAGAAACCCTGTCTTGGGGGCTGGAGAGATAGATGAGTGGTTAAGAGCACTGGCTGCCCTTCCAGAGGACCTGGGTTCAATTCCCAGCACCCACATGGCAGCTCATATCTGTCTGTAACTCCAGTTCCCAGAGAACCTGACACCCTCACACCAATGCACATAAAATAAAATTAAATAAACTATATATATATAAAAAAGAAACCCTATTTCGAAAAACCAAAAAAAAAAAAAAAAGGATAAAAGAATGCCATTCCTCTAAACATCTAGGTAGCCTAACTTTATGTGTTTTACAGCTGTGATAGTTGAGGGACTCAGAGAGGCAACACATGGCTCGGAAAATGTCAGAACCAGCTCTGAACCTAGCTCGCAGGTGACATTTCCCAGTTACGCCCACACTCCAAAACCACCCTAGGTCTCTGGATAGTGAGTCCAGGCAGACAAGTCTAGAAGACTGTCAACCGCACACTGCAGAGGTGCTGAGGAGCAGGCCCCGGGGGTCTGGGTGCGCACGGAGTAAAGGCTCGCGTTACAAGATGGCAAAATGCCCACTTCCGAGCATACAAACGATCTGGCAGTGGACACTGGACTTCACTCGCTTCTTTACTTCCCCTTCCAAGCTGGGGAGAGGGGTGTTGCAGCGCAAGGGAGAGAGGAAGTGGGGCCCACACAGACTGCTAAGGAGGGAGAGGAGAAGCAGCCAGGTGCTGCTTTCACCCCAAGACCCTCTGGACGGAAACCCCTTCTCTCCTTTCCCGCACCGTCTAGCAATAACTCAAAACAAATCATAGTGCAGGGACAGAAGAGCGGGGGCTGGAGGGTGGAGGGGGACAGGCAGGCGCGCAGGCGCGGTGAGGAGCTCAGCGCAGACCTTGCTTCTTCTTGGGGCGGTTACCCTGCACCGCCTCCGGAGCGGCCCGGCTGTCCCCGCTGTCCCCATCGCCGCCACCAGCCGGCCGGCGTAGCACGCGCCGCGCCACGCGGTATTCGGGCTCGCCCACGCGCGGCGCGGCCCGCAGCAGGAACTGGCCGCCGCGCTGGGTGACGCGCACGTCGGTGCGTGGGTAGGTGCCGTACACGCGCCGCAGCTGGCGGCGCACCGCAGCTGGCAGCGGCAGGGGCGGCCCCCGGGTGCGCTCCACGCGTCCCCAGCGCAGCTGCAGCTGCAGGCTGCTGCCCTCGGGCCACGGCACCCAGCGCTCGCCCTCGGGCGCAGGCTGGGATGGTGCAAGCGCGCCGGCCGCGGGGAACGAGGAGCCGAGGGTCGCGGCACCCGGCGGCGGGAAGGCCCACCAGGGCGGTGTCGAGGCCAGCGCCGCACCCGCACCATGGAAGCAGTGGAATTCACGCGGGGCCGGGCGGCTGCAGAAGTTGTGGGTCTGGATGGGCGGCAGCAGCAGAGGGGCGGGCAGGTAGGTGTAGGCAAGGGTCTGCAGCCGAGGCCAGACGCCCTCCCCGGGCGGCAGGCAGACGTAGGAGTACATGGCCTGAACCTCAGGCGGCGAGCATTTTTACTGGGTCCAGACCTGGGGTGGAGGGATACATAATTCTTAACCATCTTATGTCGCTGGACCCCTGGCTCTGGTTCATGGCCTGGGTCTTTCATGACTGTCTGATGGCTTTGAGAAAACTTTCCTGAGTCAGGCGTTCAGCTCCCCACCTCCTCATCTGTTATTCCAGGGCTGGGGATGTAGGTCTGTCAATAGAGTGCCTAATATATACAAAGCCCAGGGTTCTAGCCCACCACATACATAAACCGGTGTGGTGGACCCTGCCCGTCGTCCCAGGACCCCTGGAGCAGAGGCAGAAAGACCAGGAATTCAGGGTCATCCTGTTTGAGAACAGCCTGGGCTACAAGAGACCCCGTCTCAAAACAAACAACCCCTCTGGTGTCCAGGCTTTTCGAGCCCCCAGCCCTGATGTGCCTTCCCGTTAAATTGTCCACTCACTTGCCTCCTTCAGCAATCCCTAGTGGGATTGCTCTCCAACCTTTGGCAGAGTCAGAACAGTCCAGAACGGAGCTTCTCTCCACTGCTTTTCAGTTGTGTTTTCCCCTTCCATGCCTGCCACAGCCACACCTCCCTGTTACTAGGCAAAGAGAAACTCCTTGAGCTGACTAGGAGCCGGCCAGTCTGCGGGAATAGAAACTAGGGCCCAGTGACTCCAAGGTGGGGGCAGTGGCCTGAGCGCACAGATGCGCGCCTCAGAACATTGAACACCCCATCCCTTTTTAATAAAGTCCCAGCACCTACATGGTGGCTCACAGCCGCCTGCAACTCCAGGGTTAGGAATCTGACCTCTAAGGATTCCTTCATGCATGTATCGCACAAATTCTTGCAAGCAAACTTACAACACGAATAAAATAATAATCTCTGTGTGGTCAAGGATACAGCCAGCATTGGAGATCTACCTAGCTCTGCCTACCAAATGCTGGGATTAAAGGTGTGTACCACCACAACCGGCTTTTGCTATGGCTCTAATAGCTCTGACCCCCGGGCAACTTTATTTATTAACATACAATTAAAATCACATTTCAGTACAAATAAAATACCACCATAGAGTATTCTGGATTACATGTGAACCCAGTGTAATTATAAGGACTTCAAACATGGAAGAGGGAGGTCAGTCATACTGATGCCATCCAGAAAAGACTTCACCCACTAGAAAGAGTGAGACGAGACTCAACCGCAGAAGCCAGCAGAAGGAAACACAGTCCTATTAGCCAGTAGGACCCATTTCAGACTGCCACCTCCACAGCTGTTAAATTTGTCTTGTCCTAAGCTGTTTCAGTTTCAGTCTGTCATGGCGCCAAAAGGACTCCCATTTATGTAGCGCATAATTTATGTAACTTTGCCCCCCTATAACCAGCAGCTGAGGAATATCCAGGGTTACCCGTGGGTTGATCTCACCCCAGCCTGGAATGAGTGACAGGCCACATGGACGGGTCAGCTTTTCTACCTGTTTGTACTTCCTCAGGGGTATCGTCTTCCCTGGTTGGTGAACAGATACATGTCAAACCAAGCTCAAGTTGAGACTGAGAAGATGAAGAACCTGAGTTTTATTATTATTTTTATCATGCTTTGCCAGTCTGGGGAGTTTTTAGGCACAATGAGGGAAATAGAGGTCAAGCTGTGAGTCAGTGTTTATTCACTCTAATTCTAGAAATACCCCACATATTTTCAAGATGCTACACCTTTTTCTTTAAAAAATATTTATTCATTGGGGCTGGAGAGATGGCTCAGCAATTAAGAGCACTGGTTGCTCTTCCAGAGGACCCAAATTCAATTCCCAGCAACCACATAGTGGCTGGCAACCATCTATAATGAGATCTGGTGCCCTCTTCTGGCATGCAGGCAGAACACTATATACATAATAAATAAATAAATCTTAAAAAATATTCATTTAATGTCATGTGTATGGTGTGCACCCGAGTATATGTCTGTGCATTGTGTGTGTGCAGGAGTCCATGGAGGTCAGAAGGGAGTTCAATCCTCTGGGACTGGAGCTACCTATGGATGGTTGTGAGCTGTCATGTGGGTGCTGGGAATTGAATCTGGGTCCTCTGGAAGAATAGGCAGTGCTCTTAACCACTAAGCTATCCAGCCCCCTCTCTGCCTTTTGAAACAGGGTTTAGCTGTACAGTTTTGGTTGACTTGGAACTCTTTATAATTTATAATTTTTAAATGTGTGTGTGTATATGTGCATATGCATACTTATGTTCAGATACCCTTGTGTGTGTATGTGTGTATGTTTACGTGTGGCCTTGGGGACCAGAAGAGTGTTAGATCCTCCTGGAACTGGAGTTTCAGTCAGCTGTGAGCCATATGATGTGGGTGCTGAGAACTGAACTCTCCTGTAAGAGCAGCAAGGACTCTTAATGACTGAGCTGTCTCTCAAGCCCCCCCCCTTAAGATTTATTTATTTATTTGTTTATTGATTGATTGATTTGGTTTTTCGAGACAGAGTTTCTCTTTGTAGCCCTGCGTAGCTGGACTTTGCTTTGGGTCACCAGCTCACAAGAAAAAAAAAAAAGACACAGAGATTATGAAAGCTCGGCCTTAGCTTAGGCCTGTTTCTAACTAGCTCTTATAACTTGAATTAACCCATATTTTTAAATCTACGTTCTTTTTTTTTTTTTTTTTTTTTTTTTTTTTTTTTTTTTTTTTTGGTTTTTCGAGACAGGGTTTCTCTGTGTAGCTTTGCGCCTTTACCTGGGACTCACTTGGTAGCCCAGGCTGGCCTCGAACTCACAGAGATTCGCCTGGCTCTGCCTCCCGAGTGCTGGGATTAAAGGCGTGCGCCACCACCGCCCGGCTAAATCTACGTTCTTGCACGTGCTCATCACCTCATCTCCGTTTTGTCCATCCTGCTTTCTGCTTGTCTGGCTGGTGACTCCGCCTCTCTTCTTGCCAGAGCTCTCTGTCCGGAAGTCCCTGCTATACATGTCTAACTATTGGCTATTTAGCTTTTTATTCAACCAATCACAGTGACATATCTTTACACAGCATAATAAACATCTCACAACAGCTCAGACTGTCCTAGAACTCATTCTAGACCAGGCCAACCTTGAACTCACAAGAGATCTGCCTGCCTCTGCCTCCTGAGTGCTGGGATTAAAGGCATGTGCTACCATGCCCAGCAGATTTTTTTTTTTTTATTATATGGATATGTGTGGGGGAGGATATATCCACGTGAGTACAGGTGCCTATGGAGGCCAGAAAAAGGTGTCAGATTCCCTGGATCTGAGGTTGCAGGTACTTGTGAGCTCCCTGTCATGGGTAATAGGAACTTAACATAGGTCCTCTGAAAGAGCAGCATAGTGCACCTTTTTTCTACTTCTTCTTCTTCTTCTTCTTCTTCTTCTTCTTCTTCTTCTTCTTCTTCTTCTTCTTCTTCTTCTTCTTCTTCTTCTTCTTCTTCTTTGAGATAGGGGTCTCTGTAGCTCTGGCTGTCCTGGAACTTTCTCTGTAGACCAGGCTGTCCTCAAACTCAGTGTTGGGACTGAAGGTGTATGCTACCATGCTCAGCTGAAGCACACATTTGCCATGAAATAACCCTCTATACTGTGAATATGTATTGCTCTCACTGGTTTAATAAAAAGCTGATTGGCCAGTAACTAGGCAGGAAGTATAGGCAGGACAACCAAACTAGGAGAATGATGGGAGGGGCGGGGTCAGAGGAGATGCCAGCCAGCCACTGAGGAAGCAGGACTGTAGAAAATGAGGTAACGCCAGGTGGTGGTGGCGCACGCCTTTAATCCCAGCACTTGGAAGGCAGAGGCAGGCAGATCTCTGTGAGTTTGAGGCCAGCCTGGTCTCCAAAGTGAGTTCCAGGAAAGGCGCAAAGCTACACAGAGAAACCCTGTCTCGATAAACCCCCCCCCAAAAAAAAAGAAAAGAAAATGAGGTAACAAGCCATGAGCCACGTGGCAAAGCATAGATAAGAAATATGGGTTAATTTAAATGGAAGAGTTAGTAACAAGCCTGAGCTATCGGCCAAGCATTTATAATTTATGTTAAGTCTCCAAGTCAGTTATTTGGGAGAAGGCAGTCGGGACAGGAAAGTCCGCCTACACACACTCTTAACTGTTGAGCCATCTCTCCAGCACCCTGTACTCTTGTCTGGTGGAAGGAAACATTTTCTTTCCCCAAGACAGAAATCTGAAAGGATTGCAGGGTTGGGGTTTGGGGTGGGGTGGGGAACTCAGTCACTGAATGTGGACTCAGAAGAAATGAAGAGACAGAAAGAGCTTGCATTTTGATAATGGTGTCTGAATCACAGTCTCACAGTTACCCAGACCAATAAATTCCTTTTTGTTTAAGCTGGTTTAAAGATCGTGTCTCCCACCCCCACCCCCAGCGATATACACTCGGTATTTCCTCTCAGCATCTTGTGAAACACTTGAAAACACAGCATCCTTAGTAGTTTTTGGCCAGGGAACCTTAAGCCTCACTAATGGGCAGTCAAAGCCCTGAGAAAAATGCCCTAATAAACAAGAATGAAGAGCTCTTGGAGAATAGAACATGGTAGATGTTGGCATTCTGGCCCGCCCCTTGGGGACCCACCCTGCGTCCTGACGTAAAGACCCCTTTAAAAGGGAAAAATCCCTCCTCCCCTCCTTCCCTTTCCCTCTCTCTCTTCATGAGGCTGTGCGCACCTCCGCTTTCCTTTCTCTCCTTTACCTCTCCCCTCCCTCTTTCTCTCTATCCCCCCCACCCCCACACACACACACTTAAAACTTTCCACATGGATGCCATGCCTGCATAGTGTGAGTAACTTCCCACCGGGCCACGCTGCCACGTCTGCATGGGCGCCTCACCAGCCTGGGTGTACCTTGGTCCAAACCCGCCCCAAACCCGCCCCTGCCTTCATAACAGTAGAGCCTAGAACGGGGAGGTGGGAGGCCTAGGAGAGAATTTCAGGACACTACTTGTGTGCCATTTCTCTTAGGTTCAAGGACTGAAGGAGTCTGGCAGGGGATTCGGCCTCCAGCATCGCAGCCACTGATCTCATTGCCCACATTCATGGGGCGGGAAGGACTCAAGGTCATTGCTGCTGGGTCACTTTTCAAAGCTGGTCTTGTCCCCCCTCTCCAAGATGGTTAAAGAAAGACTCAAGGTTTGCTTTGAAGTGAAAGTGTACACTGGGGGCTGGAGAGATGGCTCAGAGGTTAAGAGCACTGGCTCCTCTTCAGAGGTCATGAGTTCAATTCCCAGCAACCACGCTGTGGCTCACAACTATCTGTAGTGAAATCTGGCTCCCTCTTCTGGCCTGCAGGCATATATCCAGGCAGAATACTGTATACATTGTGGTGGCGCATGCCTTTAATCCCAGCACACACTCGAGAGGCAGAGTCAGGCGAATCTCTGAGTTTGATAGCTCATTCTGGTCTACAGAGCGAGCTTGAGGACAGGCTGCAAAACTACAAGAAATTAACTCGCTAGAAGGTGTAAATTGGAAAACAATAAAAAAACCCGGCGGGGCGGTGGTGGCGCACGCCTTTAATCCCAGCACTCGGGAGGCAGAGCCAGGCGGATCTCTGTGAGTTCGAGGCCAGCCTGGACTACCAAGTGAGTTCCAGGAAAGGCGCAAAGCTACACAGAGAAACCCTGTCTCGAAAAACCAAAAAAAAAAAAAAAAAAAACCCTTTGCTAAGCGAGGCACCCACATGGTGGCTTACAACGTCTGTAATTGCAGTCCCAGGAGATCTGACACCCTCTTCTGTCTTCTGTGGGCTCTTAGGGACATGGTACACTCACACAATAATACAATAAATCGAAAAAATGTGTTTAAAGTTAGAGCTGGGCATGCTGGGTGGGTACAGAGGGCACCCGCACACCCTCGGACCAGTCTGCCCCCTCAGGCTGAGCGGCAGTGAACTGAGGAGCTGGAGCGTCCATTAGCCCTGAAATTCCTCCGTGGTCACAGTCTTCTCCGTGGCAGCTCTCCCTTCTCCATCTCCTCTGGTCTCTGTGGAAGTAAAGATCAGGCTTAACTTCCTATGGGTGCTCGCAGGAGACAGTGCCACGCATCCCACATCAGACCCACTGAATGAGCTCCCTTGTTGCCTGGGATGGTAATGCTGAGCAGACGAGGGTGCATCACACAGAGCCATAGCGGGCGGGTTGACATAAGAGGGCTGGCGGTCAGCTCTGGGATCAGTCACCACTGGAAGCGTGGCTCCCTGAAGGCTGCTCGGATCTGGTTAGTGAAGGTCCCAGGCGTGAAGCGGAAGCAGTTGGAGTGGTTCCAGCGGCAGAAGCAAACCAGCATGGATCGCTGGCCAGTGTTCCTGGAGCAGACCTGAGAGAAGCTGTTGCTCGCAGCTCCGGCTTTCGTTGCCATTGAGAATCCTTTTCTAGTTCTTAATACTACCACTACAAAGAGGTCAGGCTGCATGGTTGTGGGCTGGTGGCCCAGTGCCTGTGTCTAATATCCCCTGGCTTCCGTGATCTGATTCCTCACAGGGCTCACAATCCAGCCTTAGATAGTCCCTGGTCATGACTCGGCTGGGCGTTAAGGCAGTGCTAAACGCTTATCCCAGGGAAGGGGAGGAGAACGTCCCCAAGAGAAACTTTTTTTAATTACTTATTTATCAATTTTATGTGTATTGGTATTTTGCCTGCATGTATGCCTGTGGGAGGGTGTTAGACCCTCTGGAACTGGAATTACAGACAGTTGTGAGCTGCCATGCGGGTGCTGGGATCTGAACCTGGGTCCTCTCTGAAAGAGCAGCCAGAGCTCCTAACCACTGAGCCATCTCTCCAGCCCGAGAAACTTTTTATTTGAGCTGAAATGGCAGGTAAAAGAGAAGGGATAAGTCGGTCAGGAGTCCAGGCAACCTGTTTGCTGATACCCATTTTCTTTTGGGTCCCTAAGGGCACGAGCCCATGACAAACATGGCAGTGACAGCCTCAGGCGCGGTCACCTGCCGGAGCTGCGATCTGGAGAGCAGTGCGGAGCCAATCGCTGGCAAGGGGCGGAGGGAGAGACCCGGGAAGCCCGAGGCTGCTAGCGCGCAGGCGCACTGGCTGGCACCTGGCTCCCCGCAGCCGCGGAATTAGGCATCCCCTGCCAGGATTGCGGTGAGCTGCTGGCCCGCGGCCCGGGCGAGGGGTCAGGAACCGGCCAGACTCGGGGGCCGATCTGCTACAGACGACAAGCCCGAGGGTGGGTCGGGAACAGTTTGCGGGGTTCCTTGCGGTGTCAGAGTGTGGATGGGAAAATTCTGGGGTCAGGAGGAGTTCGGTTCTAGGGGCAAGCGCAGAATCCGTGCAGAAGGGCTCTGCTGGGGTAAGGAAAGGGGATGCGGTGTCCAGATTGCCCCCAGAGGAATATGAGTTCGTGGATGCGATGATTCAGGCCGGGATCTACTCATTGACCTGATGGCCCTTAACCCTGGTGGCACAGTAGAGCCGCTTGGGAAGCTTGAAAAAATTATGCTGGGCATCACGTCCAGAGACCCCAATTTAGTGGCCTGGGTGAGGCCTGAGCCTTGGTGCTTGAGAGTTAAAATCAAGTGGTTTTTAATGTGCAAACGTAATGAAAACCACTACACATGTTTCTGAGTAAAAAGCTCCTCGGTTGATTCCCAATTCCTCAGGGACTTAAGAAGTGGCCTGTGATTCTGAGATGAATCGGTGACATTTTCGTGCCACCATAGAATTCTGTGAAGGAGGAAGTCCCTCGCGCAATGGGGGAAGGCAACCTGTTAGTTTGCGGGAGAGAACAGGGCCCTGCCACGGCTCTCCTCGGGCTACACCGGGCTGTGAAGAGACAGAACAGTGTGAAGCAGGGAGACAGAGCCAACCGTCCAGTCAGCGGCTTGCTGAGAGAATGACGCGCCTCATATTTGCTTTTCTATTACGATTTAAACTTCCACCTGTTCATTTGATAACCCCCCCCCAAAAAAAAAAACAAAAAACCAGGCAGAAAATAGATTTGCTCCCTCCACAGATGTGGGATAAACTCCGATGGCCAGTTGGTAATAATGTTCAGCCTTGACCTAGTACTGCAAGTTACTTAGTAGCTTTCCCCCCACTGTGGTCTCCACAGACTGGTCGGTCTGGAGGGAGCGGGAAGCCACACCCACCCACCTTGCGATGGTCTACTTTCCAGGCCCAGCCTGCGGTCTTGGTTTCCTCCCCCAGGTCCATCAGCAGCCCCTACTTAGGCTCACCAGGGCTTGCTGGGAGTTGCTAGCCTTTCCTGTTCTTTATCTCCCAGGAACCTTGGAGAGTGAACTGCCCAGGGAGAGATTTTGCAAGTTGCCGGAGGGCTCCTAAAACAGAAATGCTTCTGTGGTCTCCTACCCCTCCATCTTGATAAAATTGTGTTGGAGGCTTGGGAAAGAAACGCCTTCTAGTAAAAGGTTGCCCCTTTTACTGCCTGGACCGCGGTCTGCCCGTATTCTCTTAGCATGGTGCTGTGTCCTTGGAGAAAGTGTAAACAATGTTACTCTTGGCTGTACATCTGCTCCACGTTTCACTCAGAGGGACAATACAGTTTCCGGGTTGCTACTGTTCTTTCTTCTCCCACAGCCAATCGGAACACCCGGTGTGGGCTCTGGGAGTTTTCCAATGACTGTCCTTTATAAGGCACAGGACAATGGACTAAGCAGGCATTAATTGAGCACTTGCTGTGTGGTACAGGAGCTTGGAAGTACCGCAGTGGGACTGGCCTGGCCTTGCTCTTAAGGAGCTCGGGGGCTCGAGGGAGATAAGGAAACAGAGGTACTTGAACAAGTAGACAGACAATACCTGACTGAGCCTGGAGATGATGACCCTGGCCTGAGCACTGACTGAACAGGATTTGATAAAGACTGTGGAAGGGGGTGTAGGGTGACGTGAGAAGTGCCGAGATCTGTAGTCAAAACCGATTTTGAACCTTGGCTCCAGCACTTCATAGCTTGTGACTGTGGGCTGATTATTGAACCTTCAGAGCCTTTATACACTTTCATCTATAAAGTGTAGATGGGAATAGTAACTGCTCTATGAAGGATTCACAACAGTGGATATGGAAGCCAGACCTGTCCTAAGTGCAAAGAGCCAGCACACAGTCACATCCAGGGATTTGGGGATGGAGGGGACCGCATGAATCAACGTGTGGAGGTGGCATTTAAAAAAGAGTTTGGAGAATGACGCATGGGAAAGACTGGATGTTGCAGGCCATGAGAGGCGTCCATATTGAATACTGCAATGGTAACAGAGCTGTGTGTGGAGGCATACACCTGTAGTTCTAGCACAGGCAAGGCTGAGGCAGGAGGATTGCCACAAGTTTGAGGCCAGCCTGGTCTACCTAAGGAGTTTCAGGTCAGCACAGGATACATAGTGAAACCCTACCTCAAATAAACAAACAAAAAGACTTTAGTTATTTATTTGTCAGAGGGGTCCCTAACTGATTTTGTAAAGAAAACATTATATACATGATATCTCTGGGTGTGTACATGTTTGCATTTAAGGGTATGCATTCATGGGTCACAGTGAATGTGTACAAGTCAGGGGACAACCTCAAGTGTTGGTCCTTGCCTTCCATTGTCAAGATCTCACCATGTAATGCAGGCTAGCCTGGAACTTACTACGTAGACCAGACTGGTCTTAAACTCACAGAGATCTACCTGAATTGTCTACTGAGTGCTGAGATTAAAGGTGTATGCCACAGTCTGGACGTGGGGGCGCATGCCTTTAATCCCAGCACTCAGGAGGCAGAGGTAGGCAGATCTATGTGATTTTGAGGCCAGCCTGGTCAACAGAGGGAGTTCCAGGCTAGCCAGGGATACCCAGAGAAACCCTGTCTCAGGGGTGGAGTGGCGGGGGGGGGGGTGTATGCCACCATGCCTGGCCCCAAGAACATTTTGTTGTTGTTGTTGTTATTAAGATTTATTTAGCCAAGTGGTGGTGGCGTGTGTTTTTAATCCCAGCACTCTGGAGGCAGAGGCAGGTGGAGCTCTGTGAGTTGGTCTGCAGAGTAAGTTCCAGGATAGCCATGGCTGTTATGCAGAGAAACCCTGTCTCAAAACTGCCCATCCCCCTAAAAAAAGATTTATTCAGTTTTACCTGTATGTGTGTTGCCTGAGTGTATGTATGCATCATCTGCATGCAGGAATCCGTGGAGGTCATAAGGCAGTAGATCTCCTGGAACTGGAATTACAGATGGTTGTGAGCTGCCATGTGGGTGCCGAGAACTGAACATGGGTCCTGTACGGGAACAATAATACTCCTAGTGAGCCATCCCTCCAGCACCTCACCTTCCATTTTTACGTTGGTTCCATGGATTGAGCGCAGGTCTTGCGCTTGGACAAGTGCATTTACACTCTAAGCCATGTCCCCCAATCCCAGCTGATTTTTAAAGGTCATGAAACCCGTGGGAGCTATTGTTTATGGAGAGTCCTGTGTCCCAGGCTCCATGCTTGGTGCTTTCTGTTCCTTTCGCATTTAAGCCCCACTTGAAGAGAGTTGGTATTAACTTCCCCCCTGGCCCAGGGAGAGGGAGTAGCTGGCCCAAGGCCACCAACTAGGCTGTTCCCAGGCCAAGCCTCCAGCTCTGGTGCAAGGTGAAGTATGGAAGGGACTGGTGAGTCCGGTTGCAGGTCACAGGATACAGGATATGCAGCTTATGCACCTAGAACAATGTGGGCTCCGTGCTAGCCATGGTGGGGCCTCTGTTCTCTTGTGAAGTGGGCGGAGGGTGGGAAGACCAGAGGAGGAAGGCTGTTTGCTTGCTGTTGGAGGAGCGGAATCTGGAGGAGAGACACAGGCTGGAAAGGACCCGCCACAGCATCTTCCTCCAGCCTTTCTTTCCAGGGCTGCCTCACCTGTGTGGAAAGCGCTGCCTCCACCTGAGGTCTGTGACGGGGGTTCATCTCTGGAGTTCTTTCTGGGTGGTGTTTGCAGGCTTCCTCTATGACTCCCTCCCGTGTCCAAGTTTTTCCCCACTTCCCTTACTTCGGAAAGCAGCCTGAGTCCTGGGATAGTCCACCGGCTCTGACCCAATCCTCTTTAAGAAAAAGCTGAACTTGGGAGTAGAGGCAGACATGTCTGTGAGTTCCAGGCCACCCTGGTCTAAAGGTCCACTGTCTCAAGGAAGAAAAAGCTAGTTTTTTAGCATCTGCCTTGTGCCTAAGGTGGTATTCACAGTGTCCTGAGTATTAGTTTAATGCTTGCTGTATTCTTGTAAAGACCGCTCTTATTTCCCCATTTTGCAGATGAGGAAATCAAGGCTCAGTAGAAGTAAATGGCTAGATTCCACCTGTGAGAGGAAGTAGTGATTTGAACCCTTCCCCTTCCAAGGGCAAAACCCGTGCCCTTTCTTTCTCACCACCCTTTGAACTCTTCTAGCCTCACCTCAGCATGGGTTTAGGGAGCCAACTTGGAGACTGCGGACCTCAGCAGGGAGGTTCTCCTTCTCCAGGGACAAAAGCCAGTCACTGAGTAGGAGTGGCCTTTGACAAAGGCTATGAATTTGAATAGAGGACTTCTGAGAGGGGTGAGGTGACTGTCCTGGTCACTATTCTATTGTTGTGAAGAGACACCATGACCAAGGCAGCTCTTATGAAAGAAAGCCTTTGAGGTTTGCTTACAGTTTCAGAGGGTTAGTCCTTCATCATGGCAGGGGGCCATGCCTGTAGGCAGGCGCTAGAGCAGTAGCCGAGAGCTACAGCCTGATGCACAGGCAGAGGGAGAGCCTAGGCATGGCTTGGGTGTTTGAAACCTCAAAGCCCATCCCCACTGACATACTTCCTCCAACAAGGCTACACTTTCTAATCCTTTTAATCCTTTCAAACTGTTCTACTCCCTGGTGGCTAAGCATTCAAATTTATGAGCCTATGAGGGCCATTTTTATTCAAACCACCACAGTGACAGTGACCTGAGTTATAGATAGTAATGGAGGTGATATTTTGTTTCATGTTCCCAAAGGTCCTGAAGCCACATTTTCTGGGCTCTGTGTGTGTGTATATATATGAATGTGTGAGTGAACTGGGCAGTAGTGGCACATGTCTTTAATCCCAGTACTTGGGAGGCAGAGGCAGGTGGATCTCTGTGAGTTTGAGGTCAGCCTAGTCTACAAAGTGAGCTCTAGGATGGCCATGGCTACAAAGAGAAACCCTGTCATGAAAAAAAAAAAGTGTGTGTGTGTGTGTGTGTGTGTGTGTGTGTGTGTGTGTGTGTGTG